GGGGGGGGGCGTATATATGCCCGGGGCGAGGAGGCAGGTCGAAACAACCGTTTGCTCGCCCCCCGGTGTGAAGCTGCTGGGTGGTAATGGCGCTGTTTGAATTCTTCGCCCGGGCCAGCCCCAACTTCCAGGATCTGATGGGTCTGGGTTGAAGCTATCTTGGACAGCAGGTCAAGTTGGCGCATCAACGTGGGGTAGCGTTGGGCTCGACTTGGGAGGTTTGCTGAGGGGTCAATGGTTCGTCGCCGTGACCGAGGGCCATCTCCGAGGAGCGCGTGGGGTTGGTTGTACACGGGGCCCCAAATGTACGACTTCGAGACGCAATTCTTCTCTCACGCCCACCACCAGGAGATTAATCATGGATCTAATTCTCTGAGCCCAGAAGAAAACGGCCAGCTCTCGTATATCATCATTAGCGCAGCGAAAAAAAAATAATCCCACATTTCGTGTTTCCCAAGTACCTATATTAACGCCCACGTCTAATACAGGGTAGCTCAGAAGCAGGCCGAGTCTAACCCCGAGCGGAAGTCCCGCGCACCACCCAACCTCACCTGCGGACCTTCCGAGTGGAGACTCCGGCCGTGGCGGACCTTTCCCCACACAATGGTCCGATACGGTGAAGTCGAGCCTCGGCGACTCGCTCTGACCTCCGACGTGATATTTAAAGGAAAGCGTTGGACCGTCAGATGCAAAAAGATTGGTCTTATATACAGTCATAGCACACTCACTACGAGCGTCATCCGCATCTCGCTAGACGGGACATTCAGTCTCGATTGCCGCCACGGCACCATCGGCATCAGCAATGGGCTCGCAACACAACTACACCCAACCGCCTCAGCAGGCTTCATTCGACGGGTTCCTCTTCGACATGGATGGCACCCTGATCGACTCAACGGATGCAATTGTAAAGCATTGGCACAAGTAAGCTCCTCTTCCTAATTGACGTCCCCCTATTCACTCGCCCGTACTCGGAGAGACGGGGGCAGGTCGGGAGCGGTGAGACTAAACCTTGCGTAGAACCGGCACGGAACTCGGACTTAATCCAGAAGAGATTCTCAAGACGTCCCATGGCCGGAGGAGCATTGACATATTCAAGATTATCGCCCCGCATAAAGCCACCTGGGATTGTATGCAGCTCCCCCCTTTTCACTTCTCATCATGGCCTCGCGGCGCATCAAGCAAAAACTGACACCCCGCAGACGTGAGGGAGGTAGAAGCACAACTGCCCCTTCTATACGGTGACCTCGCGTCCGAAATCCCGGGCGCAAGAAGCCTCCTGGACGCACTCATCGCCCAGTCTGCGCCATGGGCTGTCGTCACCTCTGGCACGGAACCCCTCGTATCGGGCTGGCTGAAGCGTCTAAACCTTGCCATTCCAGAGCATCTCGTCACTGCCGAGTCTGTCCAGAACGGCAAGCCAGACCCTGCGTGCTACCGTATGGGCCTGGAGAAGCTGGGCCTTCAGGACCGGCCTGGGCAAGTCCTCGTCTTGGAGGATGCTCCGGCGGGCATCAAGGCTGGCAAGGCGGCCGGATGCAAAGTCATTGGGTTAGTGACGAGCCATACTGTCGAGCAGGTGGTTGCCGCGGAGCCGGACTGGGTGGTTCAGGACCTCGAGTCGGTCCGGGTTGTTGGACGGCAAGGAGGGAAAGTGACGATTGAGATTTCGAATGCGTTGGTGCAATGAAAAGAGTAAAGACCGGATAGAGATTGAACTCACTAGCTATTAGGAGCGTGTGTATTTGGGGGGGGGGG